TTTTTTTTTTTTTTTCAAATGTTAATTTACACCTTAGGGCCACCGTAGAAAACACTGCATTAACACCTCTACAAGCAGGAACAGTTTTACACTGCTTGCATTCGAACTTAAGATCTTCTATTATTAGATGGGTGATTTAAAAACATGAGCAGAGAAGAAACAAATCTCAACATCTAAAAAATATTTGCTCTTAAAACAAAGAGTAAGTAGTCACAAGATCAAGTCAGAGAAATATTTCTTGTCTGCTCCTGTTTCAGAGATGATTCACTTTATAAACACTACACAATGTTCTGCAGCAAACTACACAATTATTGTTTAAAAACACATTAGAAACCTTAAAAAAAGGACATAAATGGTGAAATTTTAGCAGTATGTGTCAGAAGAACCTTTATTTGGCATTACACCACAAAGAACGCCTTCACTCAAGAAAAAACACATTTTGCATCAATGACTTGGTTCACAAACTGTAAATTTCCAAGTAGTTAAACCGTAATTTATTACAGTTGAATTATGACTGCATTATAACGAGCTTTTTCATCAGCTGAATCATATGATCTTCAGTATATATTATAATAAAATCTAAAGTCCCTTTTTCTATGACTTAATTAGTTCACAATTAAAAAATAAATGGTCAATGGACTGTACTTATATACGTAGCACCTTTCTATCTTATCAAGATACTCAAAAGAGTGTTTTACACTAAAATCTGTGTCCTCATTTATCAGAGTCAGAGATTCTTTACTGTCATTCGCACCTCATGTGGTACATGTGGTGGAGCAAAATTATGTACACAGGGTCCCAGTTACATCCAACAATAAAATGTAAAAGAAAAACAGTAATAACATCTAAGATATGAACTAAGAAAAACATCAACTAAATATACACTAAGCACTCATAACATAAAACATTACGTCGAACATCAGCACAAACATGAACACGAGTCTGTGTGAGCAGATGAGCACGCATGAACACATCAACATGAAACAGATCAGCAGCAACATGAAACAGATCAGCAGCAACATGAAACAGATCAGCAGCAACATGATGTGATTTTTGACAGTGATTATTCTAGTTAGAGATTCACCCATTTATACCAATTTACCCATTCATACAGCACTCTCCTAGATCTATACAAAGAATAATCAGAGCTTTATCACATTCATACACTGATGGGACACACATTGGAGGCAACTAGGGGTTCAGTGTCTTCCACAGGGACACTTCGGCATGTGACTTCTGGTGGAATCGAACCCCCAACTCTTGCATTGGAGGACAACTGCTCTAACCATTCAGCCACCCCAAAAAGCACATTTTTGTTAGGGTTGGGTTTTTTGTGCATTTTCAGGCTTTGTTATTAGTTTGCAAAGTGCGATCATTAAAACACAAAAGGTTCTTACTAGTGATATAGAGGACATTGTTTAAAGCCCTTCATTTTATTATACTATGTAAAGACGTATAAAGTTCAGCTTATTTATAAAAAGTACACTCACAATTAGCATATGAAATTGCTAATAATAATAATTGCTGATATTGTTCATCAATTATTATCTGCTGTCCATCATGCAACATAGAACCAACTTAAAATGCTAACACAGAGACAGCCATTATAAACCAATGCAAACATAGTTTTTCCAATGAAAACATTTATTCACTCGCATATTTTAGCACGTCATGATAGTATCATCAGCTGTTAAGTACTAATCATAGAGTTAGTGAACCTCCTGAAAATTATACCATAATTAAATGAATGTTAGACATTTAAACACTTAGCTTGGCCAGGCAGTTTTCATTATTATTATCATCTACCCAGGCACTCCTGTTTACTAGGCAGCTACACCTTCTGGTCTAAATGCAGAAGCTGGAAGCTTAAAATAGCAGCTCACATACCAGGTTTCAACCGTTATTTACAGTCGGTGGGTACACGCTAATTAAATGACTGATTATCATCTAGCAACAAGCCGCAGAACATTAAAACTAAACAGAAATGAATGTGAAATACATGTGTTTGCGTGGAACTTACTGAGGACCTGTTCATCTCATTTTAGGAGCGGTTTTGTTAGCACGGTTGTTGCCATCACACTTAATTACTGGCACATTTACTTAGAGAACAGCAAACAAACACCTACGTCAGAGGCTGGTTATTTTAAGTTACACCACACCGTTAAATAAAACTGAACTCTCAAGAGACATGATACAGAAACACCAGAACTCACCACAGAGGGCTGATTGTCCAAATCACAGATGAATCATTTCAACTGTTTTGTTTGTGCTTCAATGGTTTTTGAGCTAACAGACTATGATCGACTGATAAGAGAAGTGTATGTGATTAATTTACATTTTATGTTTTTTAGAACCCCCAACATTTTAGTCTAAAGTTATAAAGTAGTTTATGCCACCAACACATATTCTACTAGGTTTGGACCAGTTATTGGTTCCAAGGTATTCAGTGGTGTCAAAACCACTTATCTTGTCATTGTATGTTCTTTAGGTTTGAATTATTTTAAATAAAATACAGAAAAGTGGCCCACAGAAAGCGCTCCACCTCTCCTACCTATTGTTCCCACTCAGTCAGTTGTGTACAGTGGCAAAGGACATAATTCTTCTAAACTTTTAAGATAATAAAAAAAAGAAGTTATCCTTGGGCTGTATGTTTAATCTGTTCTCTCTTGACTGTCAACATGTTCTCTTGAGTTCTTGGTTTCCTTTTTGATCCATCCATCCATTCATTATCTTTACCCACTTCTGCCTTTTTGGGTCGCAGGGGTCAATGGTGCCCATGTCCAGCAATCACTGTGCGAGGAGTGGGGGACACCATGGACAAGTCTCCAGTCCATCACGGGGACATAGAGACAATCGAGACAAACAACCATTCACTCTCTCACTCACACCTAGAGACAATTTAGCGTTACCAATCAGCCTAACATGCATGTTTTTGGTCTGCGGGAGGAAACCGGAGTACCAAGAGAAAACCCACACATGCACAGAGAGAACATGCAAACTCCACCCAGAAAGACCCCTGACCTGGATTTGACCCGGGGCGACCTGATCACTGATAGGTGGCAGCTCTACCAACTGCACCACCGTGCCACCCTACAATAAAATTTAAATATAAATAAACAGTTTTAGGAATCATAAAAAAAAGATTATTTGATAAATCCTGAAATGTAATCAGGGGTAATAGAACTGTCATTTATAGGGCATATCTGTTCACATATGGAATTGATGGTTGTGTTCTTTACATTCTACATACATTGTTCTTGACATTTATTTTGTATTGAATTGATACAATTCAATATAACTTTATTGTCCATAGCATTCAATGAAATGGAGATTTGTCTTTAACATCTGGCTCATAAAAAACAACACAAGTTAAAAAGTCATAAAAACTTTAAAAAGCTTTGCTAACCCA